GGATACCCAGGTTGAGAAACAGAGCCAGAGAGAGAGCTGGGGGCCTAGAGAAAACATATTTCTACAGCTATTGGAAATGGTTTTATTAAAATACCAATAGCCAAGGGCCTGGAGAGGTGGTTTAGTGGTAAAAAGCACTTGGTATTACAGAAGACCTGAGTTTATGGAACTTACATAGCGGCTCGCAACTAAACATAACTCCGGTTCTAGGAGATCTACCACCCTTTCTGACCTCCATGGGAACCAAGCGTGCACATGGTGTACAAGACATAATGGGGGAGCAAGGCACTCATACATACATAAAATAAAATAAATCAGAGAGAGAATAAATGAGAATGCAACATTCCAACCAAATCTCCCTTCACCACGGTCGGTCTTCAAACAATACTCGTAACTGCGTATGACCAAACCATGTCAAAGCTATATTATAAATACAATGTTTATGGTTTTACTCCCAAACGACATCCAAAGAAACTGGGAAAAAAATGGAGTAAAGAGGGCCTAAAATGTACTAGAATATGTATTGCAGCAACATTTATAATGGTGAAAAGTAGAATGAACCTTTATGTCTGCCAACAGGACATTGTTTAAAGAAACTATAAAAATTGGGCAGAGCAGCATGAAACTTCTCCCGACTACTGGGAGAACTAACAATCTGAGAGCAGACAAAGTGAAACCCTGACTCAAGAAGTCAATAAATAGGCCAGGATCTGGCTTCATGGTAGAATGTTTGCCCAGACCTGCGTACAATCTCCACCACTCTAAAAAGAAAAAAAACAAAACAAAACAAAACATATTAATTAATTGATTAAAAAACTAATGACCTCACTAGTTAAATAATTCATACAAGGATTACCATGCAGCCCATAAACATGATACAATGGTTTATAAACTAAAGAAACATGCCCAAGTTAATTTATAACTTAAAATGATAAAAATGTAGTTTCTTATTTATCAGAATTACATGGAGGGGCTAGAGAGATAGCAGAGGCAGGTGAGTCTCTGTGAGTTCAAGGTCAGCCTGTCTAAAGTGAATTCTAGGACAAGCAGAGCTACAATGAAAAACCCTGTCTCAAAAAAAAAAATTGTATGGGGGCTATAGAGTGGGCTCAGTGGTTAAAAGCATTTATTGCTCTTACAGAGGACCTAGAGTCAATTCCCAGCACCCACACAGTAGTTGACAACCATCTGATCCAGGGGATTCAACGCCTTCTTCTGACTTCTGAGGCACCAGGCACACATGTGGTACATACACACACACACACACACACACACACACACACACACACAGGAGGTGGGGGGAGCAAAACAACCATACATGTAAATAATTGTTACAAAATTATTCAGACAAAAAAGTTTGATAACAGACACCACTGACCAACATATGGGGAAAGAAAATCTTTACTGGTTTAACCTTTTAGGAAAGAAATGAAGTAAGAATCACTAAAGTTATAAATGCAGATACTCCTCTCTCTACTTGTGCAAGTTTACCCTCCACATAAGCACTGTCTGGCTCTAGGATTTACCTAGAAGGATGCACACTGCAGCACTGAATAAGCTAAGTATCAGCATGAGAAGCTGCTTTAACAAAGCATTCATATAGACTGTGCTGACTACAAAATGCTGTTGGCAAGACTGAGTCCTTTATGAAGCACTCTAACACATGCTAAAGTTATTAAAAAGATATATGCACCCTTGCAAGGATGTGTGCACAGAGTAACACCAGCAGAATGCACTAGGGAGCTGCTAGTGGCAGTGTCTATGGGGAGAGCACACTCAGAGGTCATGGAGACAGGACACTGTTCATGTTCAAGGCTTTTGTGCCATAGGCTAGTGTTTTATTAATGAGAACACCTCATCAAAAGGCATTACACGTGGGACTAGAGAAAGGGTTCAGAGGTTAAGAGAGTTCACTGTTCCTGCAGAGGACTTGGATTTGGTTCCCGGCACTAGCAGCTCACAATCATGTGTAACTCGCGTTTCAACGCCCTGGCTCTGTGGCATCAGGCACAAAAGTGGTGTACAGACATTCGGTATGGGAGGTCCTTCTGTATAAGTGTTGCTTTTATTGGTTAATGAATAAAGAAACTGCCTTGGCCTGTGATAGGGCAGAGTAATGCTGGGTGGGGAAAACTAAACTGAATGCTGGGAGAAAGAAGGCGGAACCAGGAGAAGCCATGTAGCCCTGCCAGAGACAGAACCTTGCTGGTAAGCCACAGACACGCGGTTATACACGGATTAATAGAAATGACCTAAATTAAGATGTAAGAGCTAGCCAATAAGAAGCTAGAGCTAATAATCCAAGCAGTGATTTAATTAATACAGTTTCTGTGTGGTTATTTCGGGGCTGAGCAGCCAGGAACAAATAAGCAGCCTCCTACAACAGACATTCATGAATCCAAAACACCCATCCACAAAAAAAAAAAGATATTATACAGGAAAAAAAACTGATATTTAAAGATATTTGTGATTTACTAAATTTTTTAAACAGACCACAAAAAAGAATGTAGAGAATTTCTAACACGTGCACACACACACACACACACACACACACACACACACACACACATTAAGTCATTGTATGTTTGTGTGTCTATGGCACACACGTAAAAGTCAAAGGACAACTCCAAGCACTGGTTCTCTCCTCTACCATGCGGGCTCCAGGGATTCAGCTCAGGGCATCAGACTTTGAGACTAGTGTCTGTTCCACTGAGCCAAGGCAAGACAAATATGTAAGGAAACACAGAATAATTTTGAATAGTAAAATTATAGTAGCTCTTTATTCTCTTTGTTATTGTTGAGCAGCATTAGCTGTAGTGATTTCCTGAAGGCATAAGTCTCACTGACTCAAATATCTAACGTTTTTTTGTTGTTGTTGTTGTTGCTGCTGCCTTTTTTTCTTTCTTTTTTTTTTTAAGAGAGGGCTTTCTCTCTTTAGTTCTTAAATAAAGAGGAGTACCAACCAAGGTTTTTTGTTTGTTTGTTTTCCAGGCCTCTCATATGGTATTATTTTGCTGACTTCATCATGGAAAACTGTTCAGACAAAGCACGGAAGAACAGCTGTCCCTGACCACCACCAACTGCAAAACGCCCAGGGAATAAATTTAGACTTCTAGAAAGGAAAAAGAAATCAATCAGTTGATACCAGTTTTGGGGTGATTGCGGAGTATGGGGTATGAAGATCACACACAGGAAGAGACAATATCACCAAAGACCCAAAGCTGAGATCAGAAAGGAGTGTCCAAGTGTCATTCAACACTAACCAATCTGGAGCAAGTGCCTGAATTTCCATCCCAGAATTAAATTGGTGTGGGGGTGGAAGGATGGGAAGGAGGTAAGGCTCCAAATTCATGTGGCTGAAATCCTCCTTAGCAGGGGATGTTGCCAAGGAAGACAGGTGACAGACAGGATTTAAACTATCAAATTCTTCTCAAAACTCCCAACAGAGGCATTTACTATTTGAAGAACAAACTTATTGAACTATGTATTTTTAAAATGTTAATTTCCTTTATCGTTAGGACTTTGGCTTTTGTGTTATTTACCCGAATTTTTTCTCCAAGTAGATTATGTTCCTTTTATTGAGTGAAAAGTTTGGTTCTTGTTGTTGTTTTCTTTTAAAGAAAACCACTTGATATTTTGAGATTTTTCTGGTGGGAAGGAAGATGGGGTGTTGAGAAGAAAGTCCCTGAGTGAAGAGCAGGTAAACTCAAGAATGTTCTACTGGTGCCAAGCCAATTCCTGACTAGACTCTAAGGTCATTGTGGCCTAGGGTGATTACTACTTGCTTCCTTTGTAAAACAAATCTTCAGAATCAAGTAACCCCCTTGTTCCCAAAGAAGCATCCTGGGTCGCTGTTGCTGCTAGGAGGACCACTGCCTGGAAGTCGTAACTGGCTGCAACTGCTCTCAAAGCACTGAGAACGGCCAATGCCATTGGTCTAAAAGGTTTAATGCAACCTCATCAAAGAATTCAATTGAATTCTTCACAGGACTAGAAAAACAAACAAACAAAAAATAACCCAAAAGCCACAGTGAAATAGAAAGGACCAGGAAGAGCCAATGGAATCCAAAGCAGAAAGAGCAGTGCTGGGCTATCATACCACTTGCTCTCAAATTATACTATGGGACCGCAGTAACAGAAACTGTAAGGAACAAGTACAAAACCAGGCATGGATAACAATGGAACAGAAGAACCAGAAATAACCCCCTCTCCCAGCTATAGACACCTGGGTTTCTTTGTATTTGTACTTTTCAAAATTTTGTTTGGAGCCAGACAGTGGTGGCACACCGCTTTTATCCCAGCACTTGGGAGGCAGAGGCAGGCGGATCTCTAAGTTCGAGGCCAGCCTGGTCCACAAGAGCTAGCTCCAGGACAAGACTCCAAAGCCACAGAGAAACCCTGTCTTGAAAAATCAAGAAAGAAAGAAAGAAAGAGAGAGAGAGAGAGAGAGAGAGAGAAGGAAAGAAAGAAAGAATAAGCAGATAAATAGATATATAGATAGATTACACAAACAAATAAAATTTTGTTTGGTTGTGTGTATATGTGCGGGTATGGGTATAAATAAGTGCCTTCAAGGGCAGATGTCAAAGGAGGCCAGAGGTACTAGATTCCTCTGGATCTGGAGTTCCAGGCAGACAAGAGTACTTGCTGATCCCGCAGAAGACCATGGCTTGGTTTCCAGCAACCACAAGGCAGCTGCCTCAATTCAATCCTACGGGTTCTGGTACCCTCTTCTGGTCTCCAAAGGTACCACATACGCAGAAGATATGCATACAAACATGCAGGCAAACGCATAAAAGTTTACTTAAAAGGAATCTTGGTCCTCGGCTCCTCCCTGCCTGCCTTTTCTTCTCTTCCTCTCTGGCTCTTTCTCCTCCTCTGGCAGAACGCTCCTCCTATAGATACAATAAAACCCTTCTCCTCAACCACACTAGGGGCGCTCCTGTCCTCAAGATCACTCAGACACTTCCTTCAGCTAGGAATCAAAGGTTGGGGCTTACCAAGATTCGGCTGGGACACTGCCATGGACCTTTGCGGCACCGACGTGGAAGTGATAGAAGGGTGGAGGTTCACATGATTCAGGGGCTGATTCATCGCCTTCCGAGGGTCTTGCCATGTGGTGATTTTTTCTATGTGACTAAAGGAAGGAAGACAACGAATGACTTGTTAAACCATCGGTATCATCATCATCACCACCAGCAGCACACCAGGGATACTGGCTCTTCCCCTTGGGTCAGCTTACAAGTGGCTTACAAACTGCTTCTGGTTTTACCCAAAGACTACCTAGCCCTTTGGGCGGTGCGTTCTGGTTGAGCTACGGCGGCCGGCAAGGACTGCGTACAAATGGCGGCGAGGACTATGTACAACTTAACTCGGGGAGCCTACACACAGGGCACCACAGCTGCTTCCTCATCCCCTCCAGTTCCACATTCACAGATAACCCTGGAAGGTAGCCCTCCAAAAGCTGATCCCATACTCCGCCCCCAAACCACACCACAGACCATTCTGGCTACTTTTCAGCACCTGCCCCACTCCGTCAAGCTCAACCTTCAGCGGGTAGGTGTGGGGGTGGGTGTGTTTTAAAGATGAGTAAATTCACGCAGTGCCCCTACTTTGCTTTATAAATATAATAGGATCTTTCTATATCCATTAAAGACAATAAACCATGATTTTTTTTCAAAACTGAATATTATCCCTTTGTTCTGGTCTTATAACCAGGTTTGCCTCTACCTGGCAAACCCTACTTAGACACTTCCTGAGATGCAAAAGGAAAGTGATTGCTGCTAAACACACCTGAATTTTGAATAACAAAGGTGTTCTTATCTTCAGTGTTAAGAAACTACAATAGCTAGCTCCCTGGATTTATGCTAGGTCTAGAAATTTCCTTTCTGTAAAGTTGCTTTTAGTTTGGGGTCTCTCTCTCTCTCTCTCTCTCTCTCTCTCTCTCTCTCTCTCTCTCT